GTACAGACAGCTAATAGGACCGCTAACTAGCTAATAGCAGCTAGAACAGTTAGCATATGCAGCAGTGCAGCGGTATGAAACTTCCTGTGCTACAAGAGAAAAGGTCCTAATGAAACAATCCTCTGATACTTTGGTCCTGGTGACGAGGAGCAGCTCCCGAACAGACGACGCTGAGCAGCTTCTCTTCAACATATTCCATCCATTTCAGGAATATAAAACATTTTCTTCACATTTTAGATTTTTATTTATCAATTAATAACACAAAGTGCACTGTTTATATTTCCATATACGTCTATAGAAATAAATACAGTCAGTCACAGCTGCCGTCTGATTGGTTGAGCAATAATGTGGCGTCAGTCGTACAGGAAGTTTCCATCGGCGTGATCGAAGGCCTCCCGGCTGCCGAACAGACTGGAGCTGCTGGCGCTGACACCACCGACGGCGGGCAGGTAGGAATGATGGAGGATGGGCAGCTGCACGGACAGCCGGCGCCGCACACTGAGAGGAACCACAGGAAGGAAATTAAACCACAAAAACTACAAACATCGCACACGAATCGATGAACTAATGTGACGCAGTGAGTCACATCACTGCTGGGTGCTAAATCTAAATAAATATTAACGGCAATGTTTAATTATTCCGTTAAAACAGTTGAAAACATGCAAAAATACTCTTCATTCATTCTAATATGTGGATATCCTTCAGTGCCTCATCCTTAACGTTAGCTCTCTGGCTCGTAGCATAATGTTAGCTCTCTGGCTCAACTCACTTATGAGACAAGTTTCCAAATTTATTTTCTCAACCACATTTCCAAAAAAAACAGTCAAAACTAAAATTTGAACAAACATCTCAAAGTTTCATTGAAGAATTTAAACTGTCCCAAAGTGTCTGTAGTGAGTTTATAAAGTGTCTGCTCTGGATTTTACAGGTAAATACGGTTTGTTTGTTGTGGACTCACCGTTCAGGAGAGTTGATGCTGTCTGGACTTGCAGGTTTCCTATCTGAGCTTCTGTCCTCAGAGCAGACCTGAACCACATGAGTCCACGTCACAGATCTGACCTCCCCTGCTGAGAGAAAAGGTTGATTATCATACTGATTAGAGAGACTGGAGCACTGTCAGTTAACACTAACTAAGCTGTAAACAGGAGTTATGTTATAATACTGACTCCAGTTTAAAAGAGATTATAAAGCAGCAAACATTATATTCTCTATATACAGACACAGAGTCACATGGTGTC